ATGAATTTAAGTGAATAAAAGATAACTTTGTAATTTTACAATAATTAAATTACTTATTTCGCTTTTAAACATTGAACGTTTACATTTTGGCTAATAACAAAAAATAGTTTGGGCTTATAAAAAAGTAATTTTTGCCCAAAGTGTTATGGCAATTTCGGCTACTAATAAAGAGAGTTTTGGCCAGAAACCTTAATATTTTTGTCATGTGTGATCTATGGACCTATAAATGAAATTTGACCCTCTATATAAAAAGTGGATGTATTACTGTGACATGCACTGTAGAAGGACCCACAAACTATATAGTTATGTTATTGCTGTAGCTGAGTCAAATCTTATAGTAAAAGACCTAAAAATTTTACTATTAGAAAATGCAATGTTGATGAAAATTACCAAATTTGGAACATGTTTAGCAAATTTGGAAATATTGTCTCCAATAAGCCAATCACAGTGTGGGTCAAACCCTATATCAAACTGATTTTTGTATGTAACCTATCTATATATTTTGCAGGGCCCTGTTGTAGAATATGCATTGATAAATAGCATTAACCTGCTTGATAAGTTATTTTCTTTTGTTAATAAGGATATTTAAATGGTATTCCAAATCCTTTTCATTTTTGTTCGGTCACATGATTTTGGCTTATAGATTTCAATGGCCAATGATTTGATTTTATTTGCGTGACATTTTAATTGAATTTCATTGGTTAATTTCGATCCGATTTTTGCTAAATATTAATATTAGAAGACCTTTTCATTAAAGAATTCACTTCACATATTTCCTAAAAGCGAGTTTGAATGCTAAATTTAAAAAGAGCTTTATTCAAGTTCCAAAAGATCATAATTTTGATCCATAAGTATCTATCCATCTAGCATACATATTTGTTTGAATGCATTGAATCATTTAACAATCTTTTTTTGCGTCCTTGAATAAAAAAAATTTAAAGAAAAAACTTTACTTAATAAAGAAAGAAAGAGAAAAAAATGGAAAGGGGAATCAATGACAATGACGTATGTGTGTTTGTGTTAATATTAATGTGTGTATTCAATATATTATTATAAAATTGATTATGCCATGTATAATTGAAACCATATAACTGTCAACATAGTCATCTTCTGCATCTTATACACCTTTAATAGAAGAAAACAATGAAATTCAAGCAACAAGTCCAAAAGTTTCTACCTCAGACGATGGTGTAGACAATGATAGCTTACCACATAATACTTCTCTTAACAATCATTTTCATCAACATTTTGATGAACCTGTTCTGAGAAATTTCGAAAAAACTGCTAAAATCACCCCTTTTGTAGTTACCTCAGCTTTAATTGTGGCCATTGGTGGATTCTTATTTGGGTATTATATATTATATGTGTGAATTAATTGTATTTATTTTTTTATTAAGAAAATTTTTTTAAACATTTTTAGATTTGATACAGGTGTAATTAGTGGTGCAATGTTGCTAATTGAACGTGAATTTACTATGACAGCTTTTCAAAAAGGAATGGTAGTTGGAGGTAAATAATCAAAATCCATTATTTTATTTGAAAACAAAGTTTTTTTTCAATTAATTTGCAAATTTTTGTTTTTGTTTAGCAACAACAATTGGTGCACTTTTTGGTGGATTGGGAGCTGGTAAATAATTGATACTGATGGAGATAATATTATTATTTTAAAGACAATGATAATAATAATAATAATAATTATCACATCAAATATATATATTAAATAGGTTCTTTATCAGATTTTGCTGGACGTAGAATTACATCTATACTTGCAGCCATTGTATTTCTTGTGGGCTCTCTTATCATAACTTTTGCTGGTACATATTATCTTTTAGTTGTAGGTCGATTTGTGGTCGGATTAGCAACTGGAATTGCTTCAATGGTAGTTCCTATTTATATTAGTGAAATATCTCCAAGATTTCATCGTGGTCGTCTTGTCACTATGAATGTTTTGTTGATTACTGGTGGACAAGTTATTGCTTACTTGGTTGGGGTTTTTTTTGTTTCCAATGGTGGTTGGAGATGGATGTTTGGTGTATCCATTATCCCTCCTATAATACAACTAGTTTGTAAGTAATATATTTTTTGTGCTATATAATACTTTTGTGAGAATAAATATATTTATGAGAATATATGCAATTATGTGAATCTAGGTATGCCATTTGTTCCTGAAAGTCCACGTTATCTTGTAAAATCTGGTAAGCCTGGAGAAGCTATGGATGTTCTGCATAAAATTTACCCCAAAGCTCCACAAAATTTTCTAGATGAAGGTTGAACATATGTTATTATAATGATTATTATTTTTAAATATCAATAAACTATTCTTATTAACAGTCTATAAATTATCCAATAGAAATAGAAATTATACAAAAAACTATTGAACAAGATTCAATTGGATCTTATCAACAATTATTAGATCATCCAAATCTTAGACCATTAATCATTGCTTGTGGTCTCCAATCACTTCAGCAACTTTCAGGCTTTGATACAGCCATGTATTATGGTGTATGTAACATTTATTTTGATTTCCAAATAACTAATATTTTAGCAATAAATTAATATTTTTTTAAATATTTTAGGGAACTATGTTAAAAATGGCAGGATTTGCTATCATTAAAGAAGCAATTGTATTTTCTATACTATTATCAATCACAAATTTTGTAATGACTGGTAATTAATTTTTACAAGGATTATCTTATTACCAAATCCACATCATAATAATTATATTAATAATTTTTTATTTTTTTTGTAAAGTTGTTGCATTATATATTATAGATAGGGTAGGTCGTAGAACTATACTTTTGTACACAATAATAGCAACTATTATTGGATTATTTCTTCTAGGAGTTGGATTTGCTTCTATTATTGGATTTGTACCTAAACAAGTTGCATGTACTGATTATGGAACAAGATGTGCTGCTTGTGTAATTGATGATAGATGTGGATTTAGTAAACGTTTAGGTGGAATTTGTTCACCAAAAACTGATTATGAAGAATTCTATGATTCATGCCCTGATGGCAATGTACTTAAAAGTTTATTTGCTCTTTTCACTTTGATGCTTTTTATAACAGGTGAGTTTGCATTTTTGTTTGTATATATATATTACTTCTTTATTAATTAGTTTTTTGAATGGTTGATAAAGGTTATGCACTAGGACTTGGTCATGCACCATGGTTAATACAAAGTGAACTTTTTCCTTTGAATATTAGAGGCCGAGCATCTGGTGTTGCTACAGGTATATCTTTAATATTCCTATAAAGGTTTAATATTATAAAAATTTGTTAATTTAAAATTTCTTTAAAAAAATTTTATAATTTAGCAACAAATTGGTTTATGAATTCATGTGTAGTTATAGCATTCTTGCCATTAACAGAAACTATAACAATCTCAGGTACATTTTGGCTTTATGCATCATTATTGATATTGGGGTGGTTCTTTGTGTATTTTATGGTTCCAGAAACATCTGGCAAATCATTAGAAGAAATAACAGAATACTTTTATGATCATAAATAGCAAAATAATGATAGCATTAAATACATTTATACATTTATATACACATACAACCAACATATATATAAATAGCTGTACAATTATATAATTTCTATTTATTATAAATACTTAATTACAGAAAATCAAATACATTATTAACGATTTAATTTTCGTATTCAACTGTATTTGTCAATGATCCGATTTTATCAATTTCTATGACAACAGTGTCATTATGTTGAAGAAATATTGGAGGATTCTTTGTAAATCCAACTCCTTTATACATATTTAATTTTTTTGAAATAAAGTTTAATAATAATTCTTTCCCTCTTTTTTAATCAAAACTTAAAACACTCCAAATATAAATATATCCATACCTTCAGGTGTACCTGTTAATATCATACTACCCTTTTGTAAAGTAGTTCCTTTACTTAAAAAACTAATTAATCTTGGCACATCAAATATCATATGTAATAACATTTTAATTCCCAAAGAAATGGTTATTAATTAATGATTGAATATATAAAAAACCAAGTATTTTGCTAAATACACATTCTTTGATACTTATCTTTTGTGTTAGAATTTTGTAAAACTTTTCCATTAATTATTGTACGTATACCAAGTGAATTCGGATTTTTGATCAACTTTGGTGATACTAACACTGGTCCAATTGGACAAAATGTATCAAATCCCTAGAGAAAAACATAATATAAAATAATAGCAACAACAATAAAGATTACATCAATTACTTTTATAATCACCACCACCACTCTTCATCCTCATATTAGCAGAAAAAACTAAAAATACTTTAGAAAAACACCATTGACCAGATCCAAGCATTTTTCCTTGCCATTTTCTAGCCGAGACATCATTAGCACAAGTATAACCCAACACATAATTTAATGCATTTTCTACATCAACATTTTTACAATCTTTATTCAACACAACTGCTAATTCTGCTTCATAATCTGTTTGATTATTGTTTGCTAATGATGGAACTAAAATTTTATCATTGGGATTTTGTAAACTGGTAGAAGGTTTTATAAATAAAATTGGATATTTTGGTAATGGTTGTGATATCTCATGTGCATGTGCTTTATAGTTTAATCCTACACATCTTATTATAGGAATTTGTGCTGGTGATAACGGTGTTAATATCTAAAATATATTATTTTTTGAAAAATATTAAAATTGAAATTTGAACTTTTTAAAATCCAAAAATGATAATAAAAATTTAAAAAGATTTTTTAATACTTTTTTTACAGTCATCACTTTATCAGTAATTTTAGCAGTCTCGTCAAATACATCACCATCAATTACATTAGCTTTTAATTCATTACTTGCTTGTTCATCTTTACCAATTACTCCACTACCTTCAGATGATGATGAAGGATCAATTGGTTGTCCAAACATTTCTTTTGTTTTGACAATGTCAGTTAGATTGACCACAATTATTTTACCGCCTTTTTTATGAATATTCACAGCAAATTGTCTAATTAGATCCTTTATACCAGGTATTTGTAATGATGTACCCATAATTATCATACAATCTGCTTTATTCGAATCTTTTGCTGCAACTTTTCCAATCCGAAGTTCTTGTGAGTGATTATCTCCATATAAAACAATATTCGGTTTGAGAATTCCAATTTTGTGTGACCTCTTACCAGCATTTCTTCTTTTCTGTTCTATTATCAAAAAACATATTAATGGATAATTAAAAGAATCAGAAATATTTTACACAAATGTTAATATGGTATTTACCACTTTGTTCGCATCGTGGACAAGATGGAGATTCGCCTTCTTTAAATCTTTCACAGTGAGATTTACTAAACTCATATACCTCGGAACATGCAGAACATTTGAGAAATTTCATGGTTCCATGTAGCTGGATGGCCTTAATTGTACAGTTCGATGGTTTGATTATGATTGAATCAGTGGCCAGTCCAGCTACTTCTTCTAGATTGTCTATGTTCTGTGTGTATACTCTTACCAATTTCTTCTTGTTGTCTAGCTTTTTTAAGAAATGGTGAGTAGGAGTTGGTCTGGCATTGTTGATACGTTCCTTTAAAATTCCCATAAACATATTAAAGGCTCCTATTGATTTATGGTCCTTCAACATAGTAATATCAAACAGATCCTTTCCAGATCGGAAGGAACCTGGAAACCTTTGTTTAATCATATCATATATTCCACCAGCGGATCTAAAGTCCTAAATTTAAGAAAAATTACATAGGAGAAGAAATGCATATATATTTATATATATACACACACATATTATTCAATTGCATAATGGTAATGATAATATAATAATAAGAGTAAGTTGAATATTAATTAATTATAACAACAATAATGATAATAACAAAAATATATGTATTAGTAAATATATATTCATAAAAAGCACGTTAAAACGACGAATTTGTTGGATTTAATAATAATACTTACCGGAATTCCACCAGAACATGATATTCCTGCGCCCGTAATTACTACGCATTTTTTAGATTGTTTTATAGTATTGAATGTTTCAAGAAGATGATTGTTGGTTTCTTGGAGGTTGATTTTAATTACCATTTTAAATGTACTATTTTTTCTTAATTAAAAAAAATTTTTTTCTTTAAAGAAATTTTGAGTAGAGAAAAATTAAGGAGAATTATTATCAACGTGTTCATATTAATATCGGGATTGCAGCATAAACGCGTAAAAAAACATTGGTGTAACTAACTTTTCAATGTCAAAAATGTCAAAAAAATCTGTTAAAAAAAAATAAATAATCAGTAATAACATTTACTGTAAATTATTTGATGAATTATTTTCTAAAATACGATCGATTTCTTTGGAGAAAGAAATCCTTTTTTTCTCTTTACCTCGAAGAAGCTTATGTAACAGTTTTTTTTGTTGTAGCGTCAGTAACAGGGGGTTTTTTTTGAACAAAATCAATCTTCATAGCATCTTCTATAGTCTCTTCAGGAAAAGACCCATCACCTGGTTCTGTAGGCAAGCTAGAAGCCACAATCGGTACTTTGCGCTACTAATTGCTTGTTTTCCGCAAATGATTCTAATATAGACGCAAGCTTTCTCTTTTTTTATGTTCATGTTCATTAATGGGTTCATTCAATTGCCGATCTTTTAGACAGGTTAGAGGTTACAACACATTACTAACAATAAGTTTCACTGATAATTCTTTGGTTAAAACATTTGACAATGGACGATGATGACGATAAAAGAAGTTATAGATGACCTATTGACATTAGAAGTGTAATGACGTTTTTAATAGTGGTATCATTGGTATCTTTAACTAACCGTCCATATAATAATCATCAGGTTGTGAATTAAATAGCCCTTTAAAAAATTGATAATAAATTTTTTTTTTTTAAGAATTGATGGTTATCTACTGATCAACATATTATTTAATAAACATATTATAAAAATGAAATTTATTTTAAATTTGGGTAAAAAATTCCATTTGGAAAGGAAAGATTATTTTTATCATATAA